GCAACTAGTATTGTAAACCTGTCATAAATTTAATTCTATCATGAGAAGATCCACTCGTTTAAGTCAAATGGTTCTCGACCTGGGGTCAGCCCTGCCAAAAGGTGTTACAATATATATGACAGCCGTAACAAGATGATGAATGGGCTAGAAAATAAATCAAAAAACGTATTTGTTCTCCACAAATTTTGTCAATTATTTCCAGACTTGTCTCTAATACAGTAATATACGTTTTTCTTGTCTTCTTGTATCCACACTGGATAGTTTTACCAGGCCTCTAAAAGTTGTTCAAATGAAACAATTTAAGAAGAAGAAGATGAAGAAGAAGAAGTTGGTTAAACTGCTCACAGCTCAAAGAAATGTTTATCGTGTGACAAGAGGTTGTAAGTACAGGCCAGTAAAGCAGGGAACCATAATAGAATGACCAATTACAGCATTTTCTGATATTGGCAGAATTATGTAATTTGTCTGTGCCTTCTAAAAAACAGTTTTATAATGTGATTTATGATGCATCAATGCCATAGGTAATGTTTGGTCAAGAACAAAAACAACTTGGTTAGGGTTAGGGAAAGACCATGGTTTGTGTAGTAGTAGTAGTAGTAGGAGAGCCGGAAAGTATAATAATATGACATAATTGTATTATCCCTGTGAATGATTATAACAGAGTCCCATACATAGCCTTACACAGTACATACTCACACATGCAATTGCCTCGAGCCTTCTGAACGCTGCAGGCAGGAGTTATTTTTATTTCAGTCCCTTGGAATGCTTTAAAAGAATAATGTGAACAGAGAGAACAATCTCACAAAAAGAAGCAGGTGTGAAAGAAAATAGAGTGTATGGGAGCAAATCAGTGAGAGAACAGGAGGTGGGTGGTGGGCCTGACGCAGCAAAATTCACCTGTTTTCATCCCTCTTCCATCCTACTTCCATCCTGTTCTCCTCCCCTCCTCTCCTCCTCTTCTCTCCACCCTCACTCCCAGCTCAAACTGCGGCAGTCTGCTAATTAAAAAACATGGCTGTCCTTAATTATTCAGCGGCTGGCTAATTGATATTCACAGAGGCGTTCACCTCGCCTAAGCGATCCGTTTAATCTGACCACCACGGTCTCACTGTCAACCGCCTGTCACCCTCAGCCATTGTGCTACTGTACTTAATAAGAGACCAGGGGGAGATGGATACAGGAGGGGAGATGGAAAAGTTAGCTGTTGATGTTAATGTGGTTTCCCGGGCTGCAAATAGCAGTGTGTTGACACTGGGAGGGTGTTGTTGTGAGTGCTTGTGTTTTTACTATGCTTTTTTTTTTTTTATGTCAAGGGTTGCTGCACAGGAAAATTAGACAGAGTGAGGCTGAATTAGAATTAGTGTATTAGCCAAAATGAATTGCATCAACCTCTGGACTTGCAAAGTTTTGAAATTGCTCATAAAAGATTAAAAAAACTCAGTTTCATCACAAGAGTGATTGACAGTCATTTTTCACTTCCACCAAGAAATCACTGTCTGGGAGAAAGTCTGGATTTCAAAGCTGGAAAGTTATAAAAGCTTCAGGTGTCCCCTTTTCTCTTGTTCCTCCACTTAACTTCCCTCGTCCTTTCTGTACTTTGTGATCATTTTCTCTCTTTAACTTCTTTCTAAAGTCATAGAGACGCACTTGGCCCAGGCTCCGTGTCCCATCTAACAGCCAGTTCCCCATTCTTGACACCTCCAATGATAAATCACCTTTTATTGTCCTCCTCCTCTCTTTATCTCTTATCTCTCTGTTCTTTCCACTCTCAAGTTCTTTTCCATTTTCTTGTCAAATTCTGCCCTTCTCTTCCTCTTCCTTCCCCCCACTCTTACCCTAGCTCTCCTCCTCCACCCGTGACCGCCTCTTCATTAGGGGAACAAAAGGTGTATGGGCAGTGGTGAAGTCTGTCCCATTGTTTGGCCTTTAGTATGATTAGATTATCTTTAAAGTCTGCTGAATGGGGTTAATCGGTCGGAAGTAATCCTGACAT